CAATCGAATCAGGTCCTGGAGAACGCTGTACTTTCAGCAGCAGCTGGAGGATCTGTGATCCTTCTATTTTTGCCTCTCGTTGTCTGGTTTTGTACCAAATCTATGGAGAGAACTCTCAGGGTGGTGAGTACATCTTCCATGTGGGCTGCAGTTCTCAACAGTATGGTCTGGGTCTTCTTTACCATGGTCGTGATGGATAAGGAGGACTGCATGGAGCTTGTGCTCGCATATCCGATCGTCCTAGCTTCCAACTTCATATACCTGATGATCGTCTATGGATTTATCAACAGCTTTAAAATGGTATATACCTATGCAACTTTGTTTGAGTTTACACACATTTTGCACCTAATTTTCCTGACATGTTTTTTATTGATGAAGGCAGCACTGAGTAGCCTTGTCACTTTATCACTGGGTTATGTTTTCTATGCGATACGATTTCATCCTGATATTCCTGAGAGCTGGGAGATGCTTGGCTTGCTTGCGCTATGTTCCCTGGGATGGTCACATGCATGTTTAATCTGTGACATTCGTGTACGTATATTTGTATATTTCTGATCTAGTTACATTGCAGCAACTACACAGCAGGAGTAACTTAACGACAGTTCTCTTCGTTTCCTTTTTTCAGCTCATAGCAGGACTGCTCCATTATGTGATTTATTGTATAAATGTTGTCCTCAGCACCGCCTTAAATGGAGCGACCTTTTATGTCATTGCCAAAAACCACCCAGATCAGCAATTTGTTGTAGTAAGTAGCTCCCTGTTTAATTCATGCCGTTCTCGCTTATCTCGTGTTTTTATCATTCTGACTTCTTTTTTCCGAATTCTTGACCATGAATAAATTTGGGTCGCTGGTACATAAACATTGTGTTCTGTTGTTATTAGTTGTCCTGTATCTAATGCAAATATCATCTAACTGAATCTGTCATCTACCTATTAAGGCATGAACAATCTGTCATCTACCCATCTAAGACATAAACATTGTGTTCTGTTCTTATTAGTTGTCCTGTATGTAATGCTAATATCATCTGTACATAAACGTAGAAGTAATTTAACTATTATCATTTTGCTCCATAAAAATAAAGGTGTAAACCTTTCTTTCATAACGTAGTGTGTACTGCTACTGCTATCGAACTGCAGAAAGTATTTCTCTATTTTTCGGTTGAGATACATTTGACATTTCGGTTGAGATACAGTTTTTTGTTTGCACTTTCCTCACACATTTAGACAATTGGAAGAGTAATTGCCTTGCCTTTTGCATTTTGTGTGTAATTTTGAGATACGTATTTTTATTTTAGCCTTAACTTGATTGGTTGGACATTACTATTCTTCTGCATTTTGCTCAAAGTTCTAAGAGTAGTAGCCCGAAGTTGATGCGTAATGCAAATCAAGATGCACCCTTGCTGCTGATGAATTATCATCAACTTTCTAGTCTTAAATTGTTCAATCTTCACCATTCTGTTATATTGCTTTAGTAATATGGCAGATTTGCATTTAAGACTAGATGAGATAAAATTTGAAAGAATCTTATTTCCTGCAGTATTCGTCACTGATGGGGTTTGTGCTCGGCTTCGTGGAAGTCATGATTCTGATAAAAAAAACTTGTTGATGACAACTTCTTTCGAGCTCCCAACGGTAATAATCTCTTTGCCAACTTCACATTTCTCAAATTGTTTGAGAGTTGATACTAGTGGTGATGTGATCTATTGTCATTATTTAGATCATGCTCCTGGGAATGGCAACAATGGTGGCGACAATGCCAATGGCAATAATCTGCAAGGAGCTGGTGGCGACAATGCCAATGTCAACAATCCGCAAGGTGCTGGTGGCAACAATGCCAATGTCAACAACCCAGAAGGGGCTGAGGATGATGATGATGATGCCAATGGCAACAATCCTCAAGGTGCTGGTGGCAACAATGCCAATGTCAACAATCTACAAGGAGCTGGTGGCGACAATGCCAATGTCAACAATCCGCAAGGTGCTGGTGGCAACAATGCCAATGTCAACAACCCACAAGGAGCTGATGATGATGATGATGCCAATGGCAACAATCCTCAAGGTGCTGGTGGCAACAATGCCAATGTCAACAATCCACACGGAGCTGAAGATGATGATGATGATGATAGTGATGATGATGAGGATGATGATGATAACGATAAGGATGATGGTGATGACAATGATGATGATGATGATGAGGATGATGCCAATCCACAAGGAGTTCATGGCAACAATCTGCAGGAAGATGATGATCTACACGGAGATGATGTTGCTGATGACACTGTGAACAGGGGAGAAGCTGATGGTGAGGGACAGCCACCACCTGGAGAGAGTAAGGGCTTTCCTGTTCCTTTGGATTAAAGTTTTTTTTTCTGCTCTATAGTTTTATGACCTGAAGTTGTTCTTGAAGTTTGGATTGGTATTCCCGAAGGGGTGAAAGTTGAGAATGATACAGATGATGACTTCGAAGATTCTGGAAATTTTGTGAGTGTTGAAAGCTTCATTTAACATATTGAACTCTTCTAATTGGTCCATGAGTTTAAAACGCTGATTTCTTTTGCTCCTTTAAGGATGCTACTGACACAGATACCTTTTACGACGCTGTTGGAGATGACCTGATGAAAGATAACATGTACGATCTGGGTATTATATTGCTGTCATATTTTATATTGCTTTCATATTTGGCAGATGATTCTGACCTTATCTTTGCCACATCCTCAGGCCAAAACTTGTTACTCCTGAACACAAAGTTCCTCAAACTGTATCCTTCACCCCAAGATCTGTAAGTGTACCACCAGTCATTTTATATACCACTATGCATGATTAACATGCTGATCCCCTTTTTTTTTTCCTTTTATTAAGAAGAAGCCCTCAGAGCGAAGCTCATCTCACAGGTCCAATGGAGAAGTAAAGAAGTCAAATGATCGAACTAAAAAAGGGTACATGTCTTTTTGTCTCATTTTGTTTTTTAAATGGGCTCTTTATTCCATAGGGTACATATTTGTCATCCGTTGACGGCAATTTGACTGAACTGAAAGGGTCACACTTTAGACTAACATGTCATTCCATAGGGTTCTCTTCATTAGGATTACTGTGTGCACCCATGTGGACTTCTCATTGCTTGTTTGTTTGTAGAACATATGCTGTACACATTATATTGCCATATTACTGACAAATCTAAACGTGGCCTTTTCTTTGCTGTAGAATCAACCTAGCTGACAAAAAACCAATGAGGAATGCGCCAGCAATTGTAGCTCCTGGTGGTAGCTGGTGCCTGCCTCGTACACAGCGCAAGCGTCAGGTCGAAGATGGTGTTCAAACCCACTAAATATCTGAGCCCCCCACCCTGTCCACATGCACAGTTGCGGATGACAGACGACACTTGGTCTGACGGATGTGAGTCACTTGCTTCTACTCATGCATGGCTAGATGCGTAGCATCATCCAACAATCGTGCAGACAATGTTGTCCATGAAGTTTTCGGTTAGGCTCGATATAGACGCTCCCTTGTTTTTTTTTTCCGTTGTCGGAGTGGTGACCTGACACAAACTACTGGGCCAGAGAACCAGCCCAACTACCAACCTTGCTAAGAAAATAATGAAAAGGAGAAGCCACAATCGAAGACGGGGCAGTCAATATATATCCCAGACCCCCTACAAAAAAAAAATCCCAGACTTCTGCCTGTTAAAAAGCCTTCCGGTCCAATCCCGTCGCAACTCGCTCCATATCCTCACCGCATAGCCGCCGCCTCCGCCGCCCTCTGATCTCCCCCTTCTCTCGTCGACGCGGCGAGTCTGCTTTGCGCCCATCCGAGGCGGAGGCCAACAGATCAAGGTATGCTCCCCCTCCCTACCCTCTTCTAGCAGATGTACGCTCGCATCTCTTCGTTCATTCTCCTTCCCTGTGCAACTCGCCGATATGATGGCGCTCAGGTCGCGTCGACTCGGCGATAGGTGTCGATTCGGCAAAAAAAGGTGTCTTTTTCTCGCCTATCGCTCTATACGAACGGTAGTGATACTCTAGTCGCCGGAGAGGGTAGCTGCTGTTTAGGTTAGGGTTCTGGTATGGAGCACAGGCGGGCTTAGGGATTTTTTTGGATCGCAGGATGTAGAAACGTGTGAATACGATAAACACGGGAATTTCACGGATTTGCTAGTGCAAAACAGAGGATTGCTGGTCACAGGAAAACTGCAAGATGATTGGAAAACAAAGGCTCTGTTCTTATTCCTAAAAAGAGGTTGGAGTGTTTGGTCAAATTCCTGTGGAATTGAGGCATAGGAATCCAATCCATATGAATTTAGATAGCACCTGCCCTTTGAAGCAGAGTTAAACCATAGGGAAAAGTAAAGGATTGGAATCCCACAGAAATCCTATGAAATTCCTACAATCGCGCAGGGGTGAGCTGTAGACGTTTTAGTTGGGTGGAGGCCGCCGGGGAGGTGGGTATGTTGTTGAAGTATATGAAGGGGCTAACTCACCTAATAATTAAGAAATGCATATGGCTGAGTCTGCTGCTGCCGTGGCTGATGCTCTGGCCACTCTGACAATGTAAGCTGCCGTGGTCTGTTGTATGTACCTGATTTCGTTCCGTCTAGTTTAGTTCAGATCATGACTGACCCTCCCACATTAAAAGCTTACTTTGGTTATATTCATGGTTGATATGTTCAGAATGGTACTGGTTTCAGGCTTTTCATGAAAACCACTTGAACTGAGAACAAGTTGCAATCTATTGGATCACACAGTTTTGGGCTTAATCTGATACTCTGCGGGAACCATGTGGTCCATACTGTGTTGACGAGGGCTAAGCTAATGCTATCTGATACACTATAGCTGGCTTCATTTTAATAGGACCAGCTATTTCTCTTATATTTTGTGGTTGGGCGTGAACCTGCAGAGAATTTGTAGAATTATGTATACTCAGTCCTAGTATTATTGTTTGGTGATGGATCGCTCCTTTTAGAGAAGTGTAGAGATAATTTACAGTTTTTGCATCAATAAGATTCCATGTATATACAATATTTCTATATGTCAGAACTATGTTTTTTTTTTCAGGATACACTACAGCATACTTTGAAGAGTTGTCCTGTGCCAAATCAAGAAAGAAGGCACCTTTTGCCTGGAATCATGGCACCATCAGCATCCACTGGTCAGAAAGTCAACCTGAAGGGGTACAAGACCCTACCCCATGCTATTCAGCTGGTAACGATGATGTCGGGGACGTCTTCAGCTTCAACATTGACGATTGGGGACCAGAACAAGAAGTTCAAGGTGAGCCGTGCTTTGACGTGGATGGTGGTTATCTGCATACCGGCTACTTTCATTGCCATCACAGCAGGTTCGGCCTACAGGATGTATAACAAACCCATCTGGGCCGCCGGCTTCCCATCGAGGCTGCCAGTTGTCTTGATGTTGGGAGCTTACCTGGCAGTGGTGAACCTGGCGCTGGGGTACTTGACCCTCTACTTGCCACAGGCACCCTTCGCTGTGTGGAAAGCTCTGGATGATGTTGGTCTCAGGTTGATTGGCCTTGCCGTTATCTTAATCTCTGGCCCTGTTTTGTTGTCTGCCCAGGCGTGGCTGCACATCATCTGGGCTTGCCTTCTTGGCGTCCTCATTGCTGCCATCCTTGCCTTCTGTGTCTGTCTTGCTCGGACGTACAGCAAGTAGCCTCTTGCTACCATGGCTTAGATGCCGCCTTTTAGGCCCGTACGTGCAGTACGGGCCTGTCCTCGTAAACTAGCTAGCGGCTTAGATGCCGCCTTAGACCCGTACGGGCAGTAGCGGCTTAGATGCCTTCTTAGACCCGTATATGGGGCAGTACGGGTCTGTCTTTGTGAACTATACTAGCTGTCGTTTGCTAGTAGGATAATAATGTCGTCTCTTCAAGGTGAAGTCACTCTGTAAACAGTCTGCTGCTCGTGTGTTATTAATTATTATTATTATTGTCTTTTTTGTTACCTTTAGCAAAAAAAACTGTGTGCAATTGTGACTCTGTTTAAAAGTAAAGACTTTTTGCCAGTTTAGGTTACATTTAGAATTTTGAAACAGAGGGCCCAGTGCCATTATGACAAAACGTCCGCTGTCGTGTTCATTTGTCATAGTGGGAAGTAGTCTATACTAAGCGTCAGCGCGCTTCGCTGCGCCGCTCCGCGAGGGTCCAACATTGCATGTTCTTTTTTTGAACATTTTGAGGCCTTTTTTATTACTGTATATGATTAGTTCCAAGTTACAGCTGGAACGAAGCTGTTGACACACGAACACGTCACGTGTACCCTCGACGCCGGGGGTGATGCACCGCAGCTCACGTCGAAGGAGACCCGACCGACAGCGCGATACGCAAGATAGTCGACGAGCGCTTTTTGCAGACCCGAAAACCCCACACCCCCGGGAGGGACCCCGTCAGGGAGTGCGGCGGCTATGGGCTGCCCTAGGTCGATTCGCTCGTCCCTAGAGCCTCGGGATTCGCAGCTCTCAAACACGAAGAACAGCGAAGAACGAGATAGAAAAACGGTGGAGAGATAAACATATATGAAAAAGTAGTATATTGATTTGTTCGATTGTGTGTTGTTCAATCGGCCGTCGCCCCCAACATATATAAGAGGCGGCTGGACTTCTCGTACAAGCAAAGGATTTATCTAGGCTTTCCTTACAAGAAAATTACATCAATTCACGTCCTAGAATCCTAGTTCTGGTCCCACTCGGATTCAGCCCGAATCTGGTCCAATCTTCTGTCTTGCTCCTTGCATGGGCTGTGGAATCTGCATATGACTTCCGATGGAGACGGTTCAAATATAAATTATGTGTGCTTCGACGAGGCCAACAATCCGTATGTTGATCACTTTTCCAAATAAGGCCATCTTGAATACTCCACGGGGTCATCTCTAATTTCGAGTCGGACTTGTTCATGTAGCTGACTGGACCGTCCGACTCTTGCAGCGTCTCTGCAGGTTGTATACTACGTCGGATGATGATGACTCCAAAAGCAAAGTTGACCGTTTCGACGTTACGAACAACTCCCGTGTTGAACACTTCTTCATCCGAAGCCATCTAGATAAGTATTTGAGCCCATCTTCAGCATCTGGTCGGATTGGCCTCGACAGTTTCTACTGTTCACGGCAGCAAACTTTCCCGGCAAGGTTACTGTTCACGGCGGCAAGCTTTCCCCGGCAGGTTACTGTTCACGGCGGCAAGCTCTCC